TCACCCTATATTTTAAGGTAAGTAATGAGTGAACTGTATATACATTTTATCGCTCTGGGATGCTTAAATATCATAGAATTGTATGTGTGGGTGGGGTGGCCTGGTATGGTAGCCTGGCTGACTACCATATATACCACACTTGATTTCTTACAATAAATACTACTTGTCTCACCCTTGATTAAGACTATAAATATTTTAAGGTAAGTAATGAGTGCACTATGTGTGTATTGTACTTTTTTATTTTTTTTGATGCCTGGTTCTATTGCTAACTTAATATATGTTAGTGTAAACTTGTTATCTAGTGTTTGTATGCATTTGTAAATGGAAAAAAAGGGTGTTCCACTTTACGGCGGTAGCCTGGAACCTAACCAGCCGTATAAGTGGGGCACTCCTGTATATTTATTTATCCTCTTTTTCATAAAATATGTATTACTTATTACCAAATCTCTTTCTACACATAGCTCAATTAAAGGCTCCCCATTTACATTTACCCCTGGCACCCCGAATTTACCTACTACTCCCTCCATAACATTTTTACCCACTTTAGCATTGAAATCCCTAACCACCATTACTTTCACACTTGATTCAAAACTCCCCACGCATTCACTCAACATTTCCCAAAATCTCTCTCTCTCCTCTACACTTCTCTCTTCTCCAGGTGCATACACGCTTATTATAACCCACTTTTCACATCCAATCTTTATTTTACTCCACATAATCCTTGAATTAATACATTTATAGTCCCTCTTTTCCTGCCATAGCTTATCCTTCAACATTATTGCTACTCATTCTTTAGCTCTAACTCTATCTGAAACCCCTGACCTAATCCCATTTATTCCTCTCCATTGAAACTCTCCCACCCCCTTCAGCTTTGTTTCACTTAAAGCCAGGACATCCAGCTTCTTCTCATTCATAACATCCACAATCATCTCTTTCTTATCATTTGCACAACATCCACGCACATTCAGACTTCCCACTTTGACAATTTTCTTCTTCTTATTCTTTTTAGTAATCTTTACAGGAAAAGGGGTTACTAGCCCATTGTTCCGGCATTTTAGTTGACTTTTACAACACGCATGGCTTACGGAGGAAAGATTCTTATTCCACTTCCTGATGGATATAAAAGGAAAAGTAATAAGACCAAGAACTATTAAGATAAAATCAAAGAAAATTCAGATGAGTGTGTATAAATAAATGTGTACATGTATGTGTAGTGTGACCTAAGTGTAAGTAGAAGTAGCAAGACATACCTGTAATCTTGCATATTTATGAGACAGACAAAAGACATCAGCAATCCTACCATCATGTAAAACAATCACAGGCTTTCGTTTTACACTCACTTGGCAGGACGGTAGTACCTCCCTGGGTGGTTGCTGTCTACCAACCTACTACATATTAAAATTAATATGTATTAAAATTAATATTTGATGTGGTAAAAAAAAATTTTTTTTCATACTTTGGGGTGTCAGGAACGGATTAATTTGATTTCCATTATTTCTTATGGGAAAATTAATTCGGCTAATGATAATTTCGGCTTACGATGAGCTCTCAGGAACGGATTAATATAGTAAGGCGGGGATCCACTGTATTGCCGAGGTTGCCAACTTCGCGAGAGTGTAATTCCGTCAGTTTTCCATCATTAATGACCTTGATGAAGGGATTACGAGTGACATGAGCAAATTTGCTGATGAATATCAAAATGGTATACAATACTGACAGGTTGGTAGGTAAGACACATTGGCAACATTTAGGCAACTTTATTCCGAAATGTTTCGCATACACAGTAGGCAAAACGTTTCGGAATAAAGTTGCCTAAATGTTGCCAATGTGTCTTACCTACCAACCTGTCGGTATTGCATACCATTTTGATATTCACTCTGTCAGACACTGCAACACAATGGCATCTTGGTACAGAAGAGAAAACACCTTGGACAACTTCTTCAAGTGAGAACCGTTTGTTCTGAGAGGGACGTGACCTCTCAATGACTACAATCTCACTACTACTACTCTGCACCTCTCTTTCCGACAGTATTTAAGTCTCAACACTGTCGCTTGATCTTCAGTTAGTTCCAGACTTTGGAACAGAACTTCTCCAGGCTGAGGGACTGACAACCTCAAATCTACGACTTTAAGAGCGATGGACTGATTACATCGTCTTCACATCTCTACTGCTCCTGCCTACTTTCTGTACTCGAGTGATGAAGCCTACTGTGTAGGTGAAACGTTTCAGAATAAAGTTGCCTAAATGTTGCCAATGTGTCTTACCTACCAAATTTGCTGATGATACAAAGATAGGCCGTATGATTCATTCTGAGGAGGATAGCAATGAACTCCAGGAAGATTTGGATAAATTAATGTCTTGGTATGAAAAATGGCAAATGAAGTTCAATGTGGATAAGTGTAAGGTACTAGTCACTGGTAATGAAAATAACCCTCGAAGCTATAAACTAGGTGAAGTAGAGCTTGATCATACAGAATGTGAAAAAGACTTGGGAGTCATGGTAAGCAGAAATCTAAAGCCAAGACAGCAGTACCTTAGTGTGTGCAACAAGGCTAACAGATTACTAGGATTTATCTCTAGAAGTATAAGTAACAGAAGACCAAAAGTTATTTTACACCTCTATACATCACTAGTGAGGCCTCATTTAGATTATGCTGCTCAGTTTTGGTCTCCTTGCTACAGGACGGATATAGACTCATTAGAGAACATACAGAGAAGAATGACTCAAATGATTTACTGTGTAAGGAATCTCCCATATGAAGATAGACTTAAAGCCTTAAATCTCCATTCTCTGGAGACGTAGAATGAGGGGAGATATCACTGAAGTGTATAACTGGATGATGGGCATAAACAAAGGATATATTAATAAAGTACCGAGGGTGTCGAACCAAGTAAGAACCAGAAATAATGGATTTAAGTTGGATAAATTTAGATTTAGAAAGTACAGAGTTAAGTACTGGTTTTCTAATAGAGTTGTGGATGCGTGGAACAATCTTCCCAATAGGGTGATAGAGGCTAGGACTTTGGGTAGCTTTAAAAAGAGATTGGACAAATATATGAGTGGGAGGGGCTGGGTTTGATTGATGTCATTGGGTATGGGAGTTAATTCTTGGGTAGCTTTGGGTAGAGGTCGTTTTGATAAGGACCTGCCTTGTATGGTCCAGTAGGCCTTCTGCAGTTTTCCTCCATTCTTATCTTCTTATTTTCTAAATTTCGCTCTGTTGGTGTCATTACAATCGGGAAAAGATTCTCTATCATTTCATAAGAAAAATTTTTTTTTCGGAAATTTTGCGACACCAGGATTTGGGGTTGTGACAGTCAAGGGGTTAACATCCTATGGAGAAGGAGCATGGACACAGGGGTCATCCCACAGCTGCTAAAAACAAAAGACATAGCCCCACTCCACAAAGGGGGGCAGTAAAGCAATAGCGAAGAACTACAGACCGACAGCACTAGCATCCCATATCATAAAAATCTTTGAAATGGTTCTAAGAAGCAAGACTGCCACTCCTCTAGATACTCATCAGTTACACATCCCAGGGCAACATGGGTTTAGAGCAGGTCGCTCCTGCTTGTCCCAACTACTGGACCACTATGACAAGGTTCTGGATACTCTAGAAGACAAACAAAATGCAGATATAGTATACACAAACTTTGCAAAAGCCTTCAACAAGTGTGACCATGGAGTAATAGCGCACAAAATGTGTGATAAAGGAATAACAGGAAAAGTTGGTAGATGGGTCTATAATTTCCTAACAAATAGAACACAAAGAGTAGTAGTCAACAGAGTAAAGTCTGAGGTGGCTACTGTGAAAAGCTCTGTTCCACAAGGCACAGTACTCACTCCCATCCTGTTCCTCATCCTCGTATCTGACACAGACAGGGATATGAGCCACAGCACCGTGTCTTCTTTTGCAGATGACACCCGAATTTGCATGACAGTGTCCTCTATTGAAGACACTGCAAGACTCCATGTGGACATCAACCAAATCTTTAAATGGGCCACAGAAAGCAATGTGAAGTTCAATGATGAGAAATTTCAATTACTCTGATATGGAAAACGTGAGGAAATTAAAACTATGTAGGAGTATAAAACAAATTCCAAATGCACAATAGAGCTAAAAACTAATGTAAAAGACCTGGGAGTGATAATGTTAGAGGATCTCACTTTCAAAGACCACAACATTATATCAATTGCATCTGCTAGAAAAATGACAGGATGAATAATGAGAGCCTTCAAAACTATGGATGCCAAGCCCATGATGATACTCTTCAGATCACTTGTCCTATCTAGGCTGGAATATTGCTGCACACTAACAGCATCTTTCATGGCAGGTGAAACTGCTCACCTAGAAAATGTATGGAGAACCTTCACAGCACACATAACTGCGATAAAACACCGCACTTACTGGGAATGCTTGAAGTTCCTCAACCTGTGCTCCCTAGAATGCAGGCGAGAGAGATATATGACTATATACACTTGGAAAATCCTAGAGGGATTAGTACCAAACTTGTACACAAAAATCATTCCCTATGAAAGCAAAAGATTTGGCAGACGATGCAACATCCCCCCAATGAAAAGCAGGGGTGTCACAAGCGTGATAAGAGACAACACAATAAGTGTCAGGGGGCCCAAGACTGTTCAACTGCCTCCCAGCATACATAAGGGGGGATTACCAATTGACCCTTGGCTGTCTTCAAGAAGGAGCTGGACAGGCACCTAAAGTCAGTATCTGAACAGCCAGGCTGTGGTTCGTATGTGGGGTTGCATGCGGTCAACAGTAACAGCCTGGTTGATCAGGCCCTGATCCACCATGAGGCCTAGTCACAGACTGGGCCACGGGGGCATTGACCCTCGTAACCCACTCCAAATATCTCCAGATAAAAGCAATATTTTTTTATCTGCAGCTACTTCAATATAACATGCAACGGCAGTGGCAGTGGTGGTGGTGGTATTCGCGCATGAGTGCATGCATGTGCACACATGTCAAAAGATAGATATTTTATGGAACAAAACTTACATGTATGGGCTTGGCTGAACTCCTGTAGCATCTGATATAAACCTGAACTCTGGTAAACTTTCTAAAAGGCTGGAGTGAGTCAGTGCATTCCTCTCTGGAGAGTAGGACTGTCGATTGCTATCGGTGAAGTTCCTCTCGTTAAAATAGAATACGTTTGCTGCAGGGTCTTCCATTATACTGTTTAAGTCTGGTTCATCTTCGATAATCTGTAAATGCAACAGGATGTTAAAATTTACTTTTTTTTTTTTTTAACAAGTCGGCCATCTCTCACCGAGGCGGGGTGACCCAAAAAAGAAAGAAACTCCCCCAAAACAAAATACTTTCATCATCATTCAACACTTTCACCTCACTCACACATAATCACTGTTTTTGCAGAGGTGCTCAGAATACAACAGTTTAGAAGCATGTACGTATAAAAATACACAACACATCCCTCCAAACTGCCAATATCCCAAACCCCTCCTATAAAGTGCAGGCACTGTACTTACCATTTCCAGGACTCAAGTCCAGCTATATAAAAATAACCAATTTCCCTGAATCCCTTCACTAAATATTACCCTGCTCACACTCCAACAGATCATCAGGTCCCAAATACCATTTGTCTGAATTCACTCCTATCTAACATACTCACGCACGCTTGCTGGAAGTCCAAGCCCCTCGCCCACAAAACCTCCTTTACCCCCTCCCTCCAACCTTTCGAGGACGACCCCTACCCCGCCTTCCTTCCCCTACAGATTTATACGCTCTCCATGTCATTCTACTTTGATCCATTCTCTCTATATGACCAAACCACCTCAACAACCCCTTTTCAGCCCTCTGACTAATACTTTTATTAACTCCACACCTTCACCTAATTTCCACACTCCGAATTTTCTGCATAATATTCACACCACACATTGCCCTTATACAGGACATCTCCACTGCCTCCAACCGCCTCCTCACTGCAGCATTTACAACCCAAGCTTCACACCAATATAAGAGTGTTGGTACTACTATACTTTCATAAATTCCCTTCTTTGCCTCCACAGATAACGTTTTTTGTCTCCATATATACCTCTATGCACCACTTGCCTTTTTTTCTTCATCAATTCTATGATTAACCTCATCCTTCATAAATCCATCCACTGACATGTCAACTCTCAAATATCTGAAAACATTCACTTCTTCCATACTTCTCCTCCCCAATTTGATATCCAATTTTTCTTTATCTAAATCATTTGATACCCTCATCACCTTACTCTTTTCTATGTTCACTTTCAACTTTCTACCTTTACACACACTTCCAATCTCGTCAAATAACCTTTGCAGTTTTTCTTGAGAATCTTCCATAAGCACAGTATCATCAGCAAAAAGTAATTGTGTCCACTCCCATTTTGTATTTGATTCCCCATAATTTAATCCCACCCCTCTACTAAACACCCTAGCATTTACTTCTTTTACAACCCCATCTATAAATATATTAAACAACCATGGTGACATTACACATCCCTGTCTAAGACCTACTTTTACTGGGAAATAGTCTCCCTCTCTTCTACACACCCTAACCTGAGCCTCACTATCCTCATAAAAACTCTTTACAGCATTTAGTAACTTACCACCTACTCCATATACTTGTAACTTCTGCCACATTGCTCTCCTATCCACTCATATGCCTTTTCTAAATCCATAAATGCAATAACAACTTCCCTATCTTTATCTATATACTGTTCACATATATGCAAAGATGAGTAGTGGGGGGGGGGGGGTTGAAGAGGGTTGGAATAGTTTTAAAAATGCAGTATTAGAATGTGGGGCAGAAGTTTGTGGTTATAGGAGGGTGGGGGCAGGAGGAAAGAGGAGTGATTGGTGGAATGATGAAGTAAAGGGTGTGATAAAAGAGAAAAAGGTAGCTTATGAGAGGTTTTTACAAAGCAGAAGTGTTATAAGACGAGCAGAGTATATGGAGAGTAAAAGAAAGGTAAAGAGAGTGGTGAGAGAGTGCAAAAGGAGAGCAGATGATAGAGTGGGAGAGGCATTGTCAAGAAATTTTAATGAAAATAAGAAAAAATTTTGGAGTGAGTTAAACAAGTTAAGAAAGCCTAGGGAAAGTATGGATTTGTCAGTTAAAAACAGAGTAGGGGAGTTAGTAGATGGGGAGAGGGAGGTATTAGGTAGATGGCGAGAATATTTTGAGGAACTTTTAAATGTTAAGGAAGAAAGAGAGGCAGTAATTTCATGCAATGGTCAGGGAGGTATACCATCTTTTAGGAGTGAAGAAGAGCAGAATGTAAGTGTGGGGGAGGTACGTGAGGCATTATGTAGAATGAAACAGGGTGAAGCAGCTGGAACTGATGGGATCATGACAGAAATGTTAAAAGCAGGGGGGGATATAGTGTTGGAGTGGTTGGTACTTTTGTTCAATAAATGTATGAAAGAGGGGAAGGTACCTAGGGATTGGCGGAAAGCATGTATAGTCCCTTTATATAAAGGGAAAGGGGACAAAAGAGACTGTAAAAATTATAGAGGAATAAGTTTACTGAGTATACCAGGAAAAGTGTACGGTAGGGTTATAATTGAAAGAATTAGAGGTAAGACAGAATGTAGGATTGCAGATGAGCAAGGAGGTTTCAGAAGCATATATGTGAACAGTATTTAGATAAAGGTAGGGAAGTTTTTATTGCATTTATGGATTTAGAAAAGGCATATGATAGAGTGGATAGAGGAGCAATGTGGCAGATGTTGCAAGTATATGGAATAGGTGGTAAGTTATTAAATTTTGTAAAGAGTTTTTATGAGGATAGCGAGACTCAGGTTAGGGTGTGTAGAAGAGAGGGAGACTACTTCCCGGTAAAAGTAGGTCTTAGACAGGGATGTGTAATGTCATCATGGTTGTTTAATATATTTATAGATGGGGTTGTAAAGGAAGTAAATGCTAGGGTGTTCAGGAGAGGGGTGGGATTAAATTTTGGGGAATCAAATTCAAAATGGGAATTGACACAGTTACTTTTTGCTGATGATACTGTGCTTATGGGAGATTCTAAAGAAAAATTGCAAAGGTTAGTGGATGAGTTTGGGAATGTGTGTAAAGGTAGAAAGTTGAAAGTGAACATAGAAAAGAGTAAGGTAATGAGGGTATCAAATGATTTAGATAAAGAAAAATTGGATATCAAATTGGGGAGGAGGAGTATGAAAGAAGTGAATGTTTTCAGACACTTGGGAGTTGACGTGTCGGCGGATGGATTTATGAAGGATAAGGTTAATCATAGAATTGATGAGGGAAAAAAAGTGAGTGGTGCGTTGAGGTATATGTGGAGTCAAAAAACGTTATCTATGGAGGCAAAGAAGGGAATGTATGAAAGTATAGTAGTACCAACACTCTTATATGGGTGTGAAGCTTGGGTGGTAAATGCAGCAGCGAGGAGACGGTTGGAGGCAGTGGAGATGTCCTGTTTAAGGGCAATGTGTGGTGTAAATATTATGCAGAAAATTCGGAGTGTGGAAATTAGGAAAAGGTGTGGAGTTAATAAAAGTATTAGTCAGAGGGCAGAAGAGGGGTTGTTGAGGTGGTTTGGTCATTTAGAGAGAATGGATCAAAGTAGAATGACATGGAAAGCATATAAATCTGTAGGGGAAGGAAGGCGGGGTAGGGGTTGTCCTCGAAAGGGTTGGAGAGAGGGGGTAAAGGAGGTTTTGTGGGCAAGGGGCTTGGACTTCCAGCAAGCGTGCGTGAGCGTGTTAGATAGGAGTGAATGGAGACGAATGGTACTTGGGACCTGACGATCTGTTGGAGTGTGAGCAGGGTAATATTTAGTGAAGGGATCCAGGGAAACCGGTTATTTTCACATAGTCGGACTTGAGTCCTGGAAATGGGAAGTACAATGCCTGCACTTTAAAGGAGGGGTTTGGGATATTGGCAGTTTGGAGGGATATGTTGTGCATCTTTATATGTGTATGCTTCTAAACTGTTGTATCCTGAGCACCTCTGCAGAAACAGTGATAATGTGTGAGTGTGGTGAAAGTGTTGAATGATGATGAAAGTATTTTCTTTTTGGGGATTTTCTTTCTTTTTTGGGTCACCCTGTCTCGGTGGGAGACAGCCGACTTGTTGAGAAAAAAAAAAAATGTGCTTCAATGTAAACACTTGATCTACACATCCCCTACCCACTCTAAAACCTCCTTGCTCATCTGCAATCCTACATTCTGTCTTACCTCTAATTCTTTCAATAATAACCCTACCGTACATTTTTCCTGGTATACTCAGTAAACTTATTCCTCTATAATTTTTACAATCTCTTTTGTCACCCTTCCCTTTATACAAAGGGACTATACATGCTCTCTGCCAATCTTTAGGTACCTTCCCTTCTTTCATACATTTATTAAACAAAAATACCAACCACTCCAACACTATATATCCCCCTGCTTTTAACATTTCTGTCATGATCCCGTCAGTTCCAGCTGCTTTACCCCCTTGCATTCTACGTAATGCCTCAAGTACCTCCCCCACACACACATCCTGCTCTTCTTCACTCCTATAAGATGATATACCTCCCTGGCCAGTGCATGAAATTACCCCCTCCCTTTCTTCGTCGACATTTAAAAGTTTCTCAAAATATTCTCGCCATCTACCAAATACCTCCATCTCCCCATCTACTACTCCCCTACTCTGTTTTTAACTGACAGATCCATTGGTTCCCTAATCTTTCTTAACTTGTTTAACTCGCTCCAAAATTTTTCTTATTTTCATTAAAATTTCTTGACAGTGCCTCTCTCACTCTATCATCTGCTCTCCTTTTGCACTCTCTCACCACTCTCTTCACCTTTCTTTCACTCTCCATGTACTCTACTCTTCGTATAACACTTCTGCTTTGTAAAAACCTCTTGTAAGCTACCTTTTTCTCTTTTATCACACCCTTTACTTCATCATTCCACCGATCACTCCTCTTTCCTCCTGCACCCACCCTCCTATAACCACAAACGTCTGCCCCACATTCTAATACTGCATTTTTAAAACTATTCCAACCCTCTTCAACCCCCCCACTACTCATACTTGCACCTGCCTACCTTTCTGCCAATAGTTGCTTATATCTCACCTGAACTTACTCCTCCCTTAGTTTATACACTTTCACCACCCTCTTACTTGTTGTTCTCAATTTTCTCTTGTCCTCTAACTGTAGCTACAACTAAATAATGATCCGATACATCAGTTGCCCCTCTATAAATGTGTACATCCTGGAGCCTACCCATCAACCTTTTATCCACGAATACATAATCTAATAAACTACTTTCATTACGTGCTATATCATACCTTGTATATTTATTTATCCTCTTTTTCATAAAATATGTATTACTTATTACCAAACCTCTTTCTACACATAGCTCAATTAAAGGCTCCCCATTTTCATTTACCCCTGGCACTCCAAATTTACCTACTACTCCCTCCACAACATTTTTACCCACTTTAGCATTGAAATCCCCAACCACAAGTACTCTCACACTTGGTTCAAAACTCCCCATGCATTCACTCAACATATCCCAAAATCTCTCTCCTCTACACTTCTCTCTTCTCCAGGTGCATATATGCTTACTATAACCCACTTTTCACATCCAACCTTTATTTTATGCCATATAATCCTGGAATTAATACATTTTTTTTTTAACAAGTCGGCCGTTTCCCACCGAGGCAGAGTGACCCAAAAAAGAAAGAAAATCCTCAAAAAGAAAATACTTTTATCATCATTCAACACTTTCACCTCACTCACACATAATCACTGTTTTTGCAGAGGTGCTCAGAACACAACAGCTTTGAAGCATATACCTATAAAGATACACAAACATATCCCTCCTAACTGCTAATATCCCGAATCCCTCCTTTAGAGTGCAGGCATTGTACTTCCCATTTCCAGGACTCAAGTCCGACTATATAAAAATAACCGGTTTTCCTGAATTCCTTCACTAAATATTACCCTGCTCACACTCCAACATTTATTTATTTTCATAATTCAGGACAAAACCTTTTACAAGTAGCTACCATTCATATAATGATCTGCTTTCCTATAAAAATACTAGTAAAGTTTCATAGAATAAATCACATTTTCTCAGACTAAAATTGCACAAACTGAGACAGTCCTGGGGTAAAACTGGCCCTAAATTTTAAGAACACAAAGAATAAGTAAAAGAAAACATAAAACTATATCAGTATAAACACTAACCAGAAATGGCCTGCAGCCACAAAAAAGCAGGTAACAGGCACAAAAAATGCTGTCATCTCCCATAAGATTACTGTCTCAACAATTTTATCAATTAAACTGCAATTTACTGATTTTTTTCAGGCCTCTCATGTTTATCTAATTATATTTTATATAAATAAAAAAAATATAATTTTACAAAGTTTTAAGACTGGAAAAGAATACACTGCAATCAAATAGTTATGTACTGAAGAATATAGAAAAAAAAACCAAGGTGGGAGATATATTGAGTGTTGGAGAAAATGTAGTCTGCATGTCAAAGTAATGAAGAGGAAATAGTGTTGGAATAAAGAACATAACGAAGAGGAAACAGTGTTAGAATAAAGAACAAAACAATGATGAAAGTGTTAGAATAAAGAATATAACAAAGAGGAAATAGTGTTAGAATAAAGAACATAACAAAGAGGAAACAGTGTTAGAATAAAGAACATAAAGAGGAAACAGTGTTAGAATAAAGAACATAACAAAGGGGAAATAATGTTAGAATAAGGTGCATCAGTTATTAGAACACTTGATATATATCATTTTAGTAACTAGTCTATGAAACAGTTCTAAGTGTTGCTGAGAAAGTCTAGTTTTTCACTGTTATTATTCCATAATGACACAAACCTTAGAAGCATGCAGAAAAAATTCAGACAACTTTATGTATATTACTGGGCCTCACTTCATGTTATTCAAAGTTTTACATTTTGTACATTCATGCTTTAAAAGCACACTTTATTATTTAGCCTCTTCAGTACTGTGTATATAGTTTTTAATTAATGGCTACAAGATTGGGATGTATGGATACATAAATCAAATGCAAATACAGTGAACCCTCGGCTAACGAACGCATCCCATAATGTTAAAGCCGCCCAACGAAGCGTTTGAGCGTAAAAATTTTGGTCTGGCTAACGATAAAAAGCTTGCCCAACGTAATTCGTCCCGAACCTGTCCGTCCAGCCAGAGCGCCTCAGCTGCCCTGCCGTCATTGTTTACAAGCCAGGGTGGCCGGTTTCATGCATACATTCAATACATTTTGTATTACTCCATTGTTTATAGTGCTTGTAACTGCTAAATAAGCCACCATGGGCCCAAAGAAAGCTTCTAGTGCCAACCCTGTGATAAAAAGGGTGAGAAATACTATCAAAATACTATCATATCACGGTCAGCTGCTGCTGCACCACCATCAGCTGTTGCTGCACCACCATCAGCTGTTGCTGCACCACTGTCAGCTGTACTACACGAAGATGGGGAGAGACTGTTGTTGGTGTGGCTTAACAAGAAACAATTACCAAGAAACAATTAACCCCAGAGGGTTAGCCACCCAGGATAACCCAAGAAAGTCAGTGAGTCATCGAGGACTGTCTAACTTATTTCCATTGGGGTCCTTACTCTTGTCCCCCAGGATGCGACCCACACCAGCCGGCTAACACCCAGGTGAACGGGAAAAAATGCCTGGAACTAGTGCTCATATTGGTGAATTTAAGGCCAGCAAAGGTTGGTTTGAGAGATTTAAGAATCGTAGTGGCATACACAGTGTGATAAGGCATGGCAAAGCTGAAAAATTCCAACCCCAACGAGTGTTCAATTGTGACAAAACAGGCCTGTTCTAGAAGAAAATGCCAAACAGGACCTACATTACTCAGGAGGAAAAGGCACTCCCACGACACAAGCCTATGAAAGACAGGCTAACTTTCTTGTTTTGTTGTAAAGCTAGTGGGGATTGCAAAGTGAAGCCTTTACTCATGTATCACTCTGAAAATCCCAGAGTGTTCAAGAAAAACAGTCTCATCACTCATCAATACTCTTCAATAAAGGTAAGTGTCATTTTAACATTTAGTATTTATATAGTTATTGTGTATGTCTCATTGTTTTCTTTGTAGTGAAATGTATATTTCATGAAAAAGAAAATTATTTTTTTTAATACTTTTGGCTGTCTGGAACTGATTAATTGGATTTCCATTATTTCTTATGGGGAAAATTAATTCGGCTAAAGATAATTTCGTCTAACAATGAGCTCTCAGGAACGGATTAACATCATTAGCCGACGGTCCACTGTACTGTACTAGAAACATTGCCTGCTTTCAAATTTGTTAATGTAACTAACTTGCCACAAAAATATGCAGCACATCTAACACTTTGTTTCTACTGTTATCTAAACACAAAAGGCACTTTACCCTGCTAAGGCACTGTCTTGCATCATCAAGCCCTTTCAACTCAGGCCAGGAAAACAATAGTCCATCAGTTGTTTCACCAAAAGGATTGAAGTCAAGTAGTATCACACAATCCTTCGCTGGACGATACACGTCAATAACATCTGCACAATAGAAAGTTTATACCTATATAAATTTTTGTTTATATATTATTATACATGCACATGCATCTAGACACCTTGATATGAGCCCACCATCCAGATGCAACAAATCTCCATAAATAAATTTATTCATTAATATTCTCATACAGTTATGCCTCATTATACAATGCTTCATTATACAACAGCTGATACATTTGCAAAGGGATTACCCACATGACATCCTTGGATTCACTATGACTAATGCAGCAGTGTCACAGCTAGGTGCACTTGCAGAGTGGGCAAAGACAAACAAAAGGTGATTTATCATTAAAACATTCACTTGAACACAAAGTGGAGCTTCTGAAGGCCACCATACTGTGTACACATTTCATCATTTTATTTTTAATGTTCTCAACCCCTGAATAGATTTTTGTATATATAATGTTGTAGATTATATTAAACCTTTCATATACATTACTGATGACAGGGACCTACATGCAGATCTGTTTTGAGCACAGTTCCCTCAAATAAACTGTGAGTGGTAAATTTTGACCTAAATATGAGAGAACAGGTCTACATGGTGAGTGTGCACATTATAAAAAAAAAAGAAACTTGCTGCATGTGCATAATGGAAAGAGCAAAAACTGACACTGTGTTTGATTTAAAATAACTTTAAAGTGTTATCCAAGGATGGAGTTTATGGTTTTATTGGCTGTTTCTTGGCATCATTTGACAGAAGGGAAGATATACTACTGAAATATAGATGCTTGGTTAGTTTCAGGACCATAAGTAGCTTGAAATTGGGCTCAAAATAACGGAACTTTTCAATTTTTGGTGATTTTCCCGAGGATAGGTAAGACCTCCCAACATCCCCCAGTCTATTTTATACTATTTAAGAGGTCTCATTCAATTACTGGGGTGCTGTAAACCAAGACTGATCATTACTGCTACATTTTATTATCTGATATGATGAATTCAAAATGGAAGGCAAGTGTAATATAAGAGAAGCCTAAGGACATGATTAATGAACAGATGAAATGTTGCTTTAGTGCCTGGAATGTCTACAGTATTTATTTTGGACAATTTTTAAATTGTTTTTTTTTTATTTTGTGTAAAACTGGCTAAATTTTCAACTTTATGGGATAGTTCTGATAGTTTAATAAGTAGCTTCTTGTACTTAATTGATGGATCAGAAGACAAACTAGCTAAATAGTTAAGAATCTGGTTGAATAGAGCATTGGAATCAGCTTAAAATAGAACTCAAAATGGGTGATAGTGCCAATGCATAAATTGCTCCCCAGATAATTCCGTGAGTTCATCAAATTTCATACTTTTGGTGTCATTTCCTTCAGAAAAAGATTATCTGTCATTTCAGAATTTTTTTTTTTTTTTTTTTTTGAGATCAACATTAATTTCAGGATTAACATAAAGCCCAATTAAAACTAATTCTTCATCAAGACTAAGAAGCATGAAGGCCATGAGGCTACCCACAACCATGATCTACCTGCCCTCTACTTTCTTGGTGATGTACAGTAAACACCAGTGAAAACAATCCTGAGAACATCTACAGCGGAACCTTGGTACTCAAACTTAAGTCGTTCCAGAAGGCTGTTCAAGTGCCGACCTATTCAAGTACTGAACGAATTTTTCCCAACCAATTTTCTTTTTGGTTGGCTGTTATCACTAATCTTCATGGGCCTCATGGTGACTTATACAAATAATATAAAAAAACACCAAAAAATGCGAAGAAATACGAAATAGTTTACAGCGAAGCTCTGGCAGGTCGTGTTTGTTTGGTCGAGTGCCAAGCAAACGGTCGACTACCGAACAATTTTTTTTTACTGAACAAAGCATCAGAATACCGAATTGTTCGAGTACCGAGGTTCCACTGTATTTTTTTTAATTTTTTTGAGTACTACAAGTTGGAGGAGTCTTAATCTAAAAGTTTAACTGGAATAAAACTATTTCCAAAATGGTATAAGAGAAGTACAATATAATATTATAGGCAACAGTTAATAAAGTTATTTATAATATGGAAGAGTAGTCATTTTTTCATGTAACAGACAGTATCAGATTCAAAACAAATGCTATCTATAATATTGCAGGTAGTAGGTTGGTAGACAACAACCGCCCAAGGTACTACCGTCCTGCCAAGTGAGTGTAAAACAGAAGCCTGTAATTGTTTTACATGATGGTAGGATCGCTTGTGTCTTTTTTCTGTCTCATAAACATGCAAGATTTCAGGTACATCTTGCTACTTCTACTTACACTTAGGGCACACTACACATACATGTACAAGCATATATATACATACCCCTCTGAGTTTTCTTCTATTTTCTTTCTAGTTCTTGTTCTTGTTTATTTCCTCTTATCTCCATGGGGAAGTGGAACAGAATTCTTCCTCCGTAAGTCATGCGTGTTGTAAGAGGCGACTAAAATGCCGGGAGCAAGGGGCTAGTAACCCCTTCTCCCGTATAAATTACTAAATTTAAAAAGAGAAACTTTTGTTTTTCTTTTTGGGCCACCCTGCCTCAGTGGGATACGGCTGGTTTGTTGAAAGAAGAAGAATATTGCAGACAACGAAAAAAGGTTAATAAAAGCAATACTATATAAAAGTAGTGTAATTAAGTACAAATATTCGTAATTACACATTCAGTACTACTATGTCTATGTTAACAAATAATAACTAAGACTTACAGTTAGGAAGAGGAAATCTGTTTTCTATGTTTTCTTGCCAGAAGCTGATAATATCACTGCGGATGTTAGCTTGGTCAGAGCCAATGCAACAATAACTTTGGCTTATATCTCGCTGACAAATACCTGAGGAGTAATACTAAAATTAGAATGTTAAAAGCAATAAGTCTTCAAATTTCATTTATCTTATATTTCACTTAAGATTCATGAACCAACATTAGCATACTGTAGAAAATGCAATCAGCTCTCTTATAAAGGTCTTGTACATAAAAAAAAATTGTAAATGGGATTGAAAAAGGACATTCGGCATGCAGAAGACCAAGAAATTTGACCGTATCTCATGCAGGGATACTGGAACTATATAGGTATAAAGTGGTATACAGGACAACAAGGTGCCTTGTGAAAGTAATCTGATGCATTTCAGGAGCAAATAATTTAAACCCATGAGAGGTGAAACAGTGTTAAACATGATCAATAGTATTCTGGACAAAAGCTGCCACAGGGACAGCATCTGCATAAGCAATAGCAAAATCATTAACATAGAAAGATGACCAAATATCTGAAGGGAGAAAAGAGGCAAGGTCATTAACAGAAAGAAGGAAAAGAGTAGTGCTAAGAACACAGCCACATACATAGGTAACCACATGAATTCAGGAGTCTATAGTAGATAGGCCCATATGAAAGTCAAACTGAGAGAATTATGGGTTTCCAAACACCATATTGAGTGCTTCTTAACCATATGTTCTAACAACTTACAAACTGCACCAATATGAGCAATGGGTCTCTAGCGAGAGGTGTCATAACCCAAACTACCTGGTTTACAAAAAGTCGAGACAATGGCAGTTTTCAACTGAAGAGGGAGAACACCTTGAGACCCAACAAGAATGAAGACACACAAGAGGATGATGAGCACCACTGGTGCAAGTGTTGAAGCATACAGATATGCATGCCATTGGACCCAGCTGCAGACAGACAAGTGGAAAGTGCTGACTCAAGTTCGTGAAGTGAGAAGGGCACATCTAAAGGTGTTGACTCTTTCGCAGATTCGGAGGAAAGAAACAAAGGGAAAAGTTGGAGCCCTCAAGATATACAATCAAGATGATGTCCAATTTCAACAGTCTGCAACACTGATGCTAAACAACCATAAGAGTAGGGTTTGGAGAGTATTTGCCACTCAACTTCTGAACCTTTTTCCAAACTGTATTCACAGAAGTGGAGCTAATAACTCCTTCTCCTATATATATTACTATATTTAAAAGGAGAAACTTCCATTTTTTGGGCCACCCTGGCTTGGTGGGATATGGTTGGTTTGTTGAAAGAAGAAAATTCACAGTAGTGGTGGAAATGACAGTAGAAACATAAATCAGCCAAGAAGTACATCTTGCTTCTCGAATTACACAGTGAGCAAATGCCCTTCCCATAAAAAATCCAGGAACGAATCAGTGGTTCCACTATAATGGTAGCAGCCGCACACAGCATGTTTCAACTGCACTGCATGAGCATACAAAAGCAGGATACCAGGGTTCACAATTTAGAGAATCTCTACCCAGGGTTTGGGGGATTGCAGTCAAAGCTGCAGTCAGAACAGAGGAGGTAACAGTTGTAACACCCTACTGGAAGAGGATGAAAAAGGTGGAATATAAAGAAAAGAAGTATGGAGTGAATAAAGCATCCAGTCCACCCACTTAAACTGCCAATGGAAGCCACAAGGGGGATCAGGTGTATGAATGGAGAACAGGGAAATGATCATTGTTGTAGAGATCAGATACCACAGATGAAGGAAAAGTCAAGTGTTATAGAAGAGCACAAAGTAAGAGCTATACAAGAAAGAGTACAAATGCAAGGATAAAAATGTAGAGGTGCTGGTATGTAAAACATGGAGTGAGAGAGAAGTAAGAAAAGCCTCCAATTGGTCTTCAAGAGTCACAATGAGACTCTCCACAGGAAATGATGAACATCAAATTCACCCAAAAAAATGAGTGGAGGTGGTAAGGCGAAATATAAAACATGAAATCAGGGATAGATAATGGTCATGAAGGAGAAAAATACAATGAGCATACCATGTACCACTTACCCAAATAGACATGTGCCACAGTATAATGAGGCAGAGTATGATTGAAAAGTTGAGAGCAAAGTATATAAATGTGCAAAAGTGCACTCACATTAAATTCCTCATTGGAAAAAGGATCGAGTGATTGCAATATAGCATAGCCAAAGATAGGAAGGCCAACAGTGGAGCCTAATGTTGGTTCTTCTAAACTGACACATAAGAGAAAATTGGAAGGAAGGAGAGGACTGGGGCTGGGGGGGAATATTAGATTTGATCTGAGGGAGACAAGAAGCCTAATTCCTCAGATTGAGAGCCTCTTCCCCCCAACAATGGAATCCACTTGAAGTGGAGCAGACTGAGAAAATCTACAGAGAGAGCCATCCAAATTACAAGCCTTTCTTAACATTTATTTTAAATTTATGGCATGCATTATTCAGGCTTTTTTCATGCAGTATTCTTTGCTACAATTTCTCAATCCCATTAAGACAATCTCATACAGTCTAACTGCACTCTAACTGACATTCTACTATAACCCATTCATCACAATGCAAATTAGTGTTAATATTGTGCATAAAATTTAAAGTTTGTTTATTAAATGAGTGATATTTGGTGTATAGTGTGCAACCTACTACCACAGACTGACCAACTAGTTCCTTATTCCTAACAAAGCAGCGGAACTCATGTGCCGGATTGATCTCCATCCAGCCACGTAGGACCAAGCAGTAGTCAATATTTGTGTCTGCCACATTTACATCATCACAGTCCTGAAATATTATCAACCATTATACAAGTTAGCAATAAATGTAAAGTTGCAATACTGTTAACAATACATGACCATAAGGTATTTGTCCTGAAATATGCTCAGAATTTTTTTTTCTTATAGTAGACCATCGTTTAACACGGTTTTGCTTGGCATGTTTTGGTTATAGCACTACTGAAGAATTCTGGCATATTTTTGTATAACACTTCGTAAAATTAACACGGTTCAGTTTGCAGGAGGGAAAAAAATTTCGAGCGTGCATCGCCCACGGGATACACTCTGCTTGGCTGTGGGTTAGACCACTGAGTCAACGGGGGAGACCTACTGCCATCCCCTGCCACCCCCACCACCACTCCCACCACCCTTGTCCCAGCAGGTTCATACACGTGTAGGAATATCCTCTGCTAGGAGCTAGCTGTGTTTATTTTTGTTTGTGGATTGAGTTTAGATCTTTTAATTACCATATCTCAAATCTGTCAAGTGTTGCTGAAAGTGGAAAAAAAAAGGTTTAAGAGTTTAAGTCTAGGAGTTACGAAAAAAATCGAGTTATTAGACAAGCTTAAGAGTGGCTCATGTGTGGTGGATACAGTGATGGCCTATGGCCTTAATGAAGCATCAATTCGTACAATACTAAGAACGAGGTGAATTTATGAACTTGTGTAATGAATAACCCAAGATGTTATCTCATGAAAAGAATGACACACAGATCACAACAAGTAAATAAAACTGAAAACTTGCTGATTGAGTGGCTTGAACAAAAGACAAAGAAAGGTGCACCACTTAATTTCATCTTAATTGGGGAAAAGGCCTTACAGTTGTTTAAAGCAGTGTGTGATAAGGAAGGCCTGAAAAAGAGTGAATGTTTAGCACAGGCTGGTTCCACAACTTTAAGTTGCATAATAAGTTACATAATATTAAGTTTTCTGGTGAAAGTGCTTCAGCTGATCATACAGCAGCAAGTAATTTCCCTGTTGAATTGCAGAAAATTATTTCTGAGGGTGGCTATGAGCCACATCAAGTGTTTAATGCTGACGAGACAAGTGTTTCTTGGAAGAAAATGCCAACACAAACTTATATCAGTCAGCAAGAGAAAAGTGCACCGGGCTTCAAGACAGCAAATGATTGCTTCACCTTGCTCCTTTGCAGTAATGCATCAGGTGATTTCAAGTGTAAGCCCATGATTACTTACCGCTCTAAGAATCCTCGTACTTTGAAAGGTGTAAATAAAAATACCTTACCAATAATTTGGAGGTCAAACCAGTCAGCATGGATGACAGAGGAAATATTTATTGACTGGTTTAAGCATCACTTCATTCCTGAAGTCAAGTTTTACCTGCACAGCAAGAACCTTGCATTCAAGGCTCTCTTCATTCTTGATAATTCCCATACTCATCCACAAGGTTTGCTGGATGTGACCCCCACATGCAAAAGTTGTATTTTTACCTCCAAATACAACATTTCTAATACTATCACTGGATCGGGGAGTTATTAAGTCATTCAAGTGTAACTACATTAAAAAAGTTATGAAAAAACTAGTTGCATCAATGGACTCTGACTCCAATCTGGCAGTACCAAACTTCTGGAAGAAATTTACCATTGCAGATGCCATCAGCTATGCTAGAATTGCATGGAATGAAGTGCTCCAATCAACATTAAATGCAGACTGGGGAAAGTTATGGCCTTCTGTAGTTAATTCTTTCGTTGGTTTTTCCTTGCTTGAGAGTCAGATTCAGGAAATTGTTCAACTGGCAAGGAGATAACCAGGTGATGGTTTTGTAGATATGAATCAAGATGTGAATGAGCTCTTTGTCGACGACGACGACGACGATGAAGGAGTCCAGAGGAAATGTTGGCAAAGCTCGATGCACAGATACAAAGGAGGCACATTACAGAAGATGAAGAAGAGCCTGAAGAAAAACAGTTAACATTGCAACACTTGTGTGAGAAGTTCCATATTATTGGTAAAGTTGCAGACTTTTTCACTGAGGAGGACCCTGACAAATCTAGAAGCAGTGCTTTGAAACAGGGTCTAGACCAGCTGATGATGCCTTACTGTCAGCTGTAAAAGAGCTCAGAGATCCATTACAGAATTTGTGCACACTCCAATACAACCATCAACTTTAGTACCAGAACCTTTACCATCCACTTTTGCCGACAACCAACAACCATCCCCCTCAGCCCAGTAGGGCCACACCATGCATATCCACTCTCTTCACAATCATCCGCAAACACCATTACCCACAATTTAAGGTAAGAAATACTATTATTTCTATTGCATTTGTAGTCTTAAGCAGTAATATATCACGACAATGAATTACAATTACAAATTCACTTTTATTTTTGTAAGACCCGTTGCTTTAAAAAAAAAAAAAAAGTTGTTTGGATTTTGGGGGGCTCCCAGGAACATAACCCTATTTTTCCCATAAGTTCTTCGGTTTGTGTAAAATGGCTTTTAACTAACACGGCATTTTCAGGAACGTAACTACCGTGTTAAACAACGGTATACTGTACATTAACCCTACAACTAAGAGCTATTAACCTACCTCACCTCATTTCAAAGCTCATCCCTCTCTAAGGATGCAACCCACAACAGTCAACTAACACCCAGGTACCTATTTACTCTTATGTGAATAGGGGCAGCAGGTGTAACAAAACATGCCAAATGTTTTCACTCATGGCAGGGATCAAACCATGGACCCTCAGTATGAACTAAGTGTGCTACCAACTTGCCACTGGACACCTACCGTAGGAGATATTTACAAATGGGAGGCACTACCATCCTGCTAAACGAGTGTGAAACGGAAGCCTGTAGTTGTTTTACACGATGGTAGGATTGCCAGTGTCTTTTTTCTGTCTCATAAACACGCAAGATTTCAGTTACGTCTTGCTACTTCTACTTACACTTAGGTCACATTACACATGCATGTACAGTGGACCCCCAGTTATCCTAATTAATCCGTTCCAGAGAGTGTGACTAAAGGTGAATTTGATGATATCTGAATTCATTTTCCCCATAAGAAATAATGTAAATCCAATTAATCCGTCCCAGACACCCAAAAGTATTAACAAAAATTATTTTTTTTTATAGATTAAATATAGATTTACATACAGAGAAGAATGAGAAATCGAGTATAAAACAATATCACACTTACCTTTATTGAAGACTCTTGTTGGTGTATGAAAGATGGGAAGAGGGGAGAGGGTTATGGTGATGTTCCTCTACAAATGTTTGCACCTCACTCCACTTTGCACAAATGTCCTTAATCTTTGAAGAAGGCACCTTCTTCCCTCTCTCTTTCTTCTCCTCTGAAGCAATTTTCTCAGCTGGTGTACATAAGAACATAAGACAGCAGGAACAGTGCAGCAGGCCTGTTGGCCTACACTGGGCAGGTCCTTCACAAACCATCCCACTAACAGAATCATATTTGCCCAACCAATTTTCAATGTTCCCCAAGCAATAAGCTTTCACAATTCTATTCACTCATGCTAAAGTCCCACTCAAATCAAATTGTGTGTGTGGGGAAGTACCCTGTCTGGTGTGAGGGGGAAGTACCCTGGTTGGTGTGTTCTTTCTTGAATTCTATCGTGTTTATTGCCTTCTTTACCAAAAGGCTGGCACTAGGAGCTTTCTTTTGGCCCATGGTGGCTTATTTAGCAGTTGCAAGCACTAAAATGAATGGGATATTACAAAATGTATCATATAAATGCGTGGGATCATGCTTACTGGCTGATAAACAATGGCACACTGACTGTAAATGGTGTGTCAGGCTGCTCGGATGCGTTCAGGACAAATGACTATTACAGAGCTAGACGATCACCGAGCCAATATTTTGACGAAAAAAACAATATTACCGAATATTTTGAAATCCGATGACCACGATATCTGAGAGTTCACTGTACAAGCATATATATATATATGTACAAACCCCTCTAGGTTTTCTTTTAGTAACCCCTTCTCCTGTATACGTTTCTAAATTTTAAAAGAGAAACTTTCGTTTTTCTTTTTATGTCACACTGCTTCAGTGGGATACGGCCGGTTCATTGAAAAAAAAATAATTACAAATGCCAAATGACTATCTTGTGTCTGTGTATCTGATTTAACATAATAACCAGTGTGTGGTAAACATTTCCATAAAAAAGATACATGTTCATAATAATTAAATTAACACAGTCCTTTGGACTGTAAAATGCAGAATGGAAAATGCTATCTACTGAAAGTTGAATAGTCCCACTTCTTATTTCATCTGCTATGTTTCATTTGTTACAAAGCTAATGGCTCATTGCTATACAACTCATTAATATGCAAATGGGCATTATCTTCCAAACTTAAATACAGTACAATAACTAATTTGGAGAAATTACATTTCTTTCTCAAAAACAAACACTGAAGCCTCACACCTTGAATGGTGCTGTTAAGTCATGAGTGACAAAGTTGCTGCTCTTGAGGAGAAGGTAAACATCACCTGGTGTGCAGCATCTTAGAGAATTATTGAGAGCAATCCATGAAGCATCCTGCAATACATAATATGAAATAAAAACACTGCATTAACAGCCTAAACCTGAAAACATAGACTATGTGTCAAAAATTATTGATTTTCCAAGTATATATGTTGAAGGATAAGCTATGGCAGGAAAAGAGGGACTACAAATGTATAAATTCAAGGATTATGTGGAGTAAAATAAAGATTGGATGTGAAAAGTGGGTTACAGTAAGCATGTATGCACCTGGAGAAGAGAGAAGTGTAGAGGAGAGAGAGAGAGATTCTGGGAAATGTTGAGTGAATGCATGGGGAGTTTTGAATCAAGTGTGAGAGTAATGGTGGTTGGGGATTTCAATGCTAAAGCAGGTAAAAATTTTATGGAGGGAGTAGTAGGTAAATTTTGGGTGCCAGGGGTAAATGTAAATGGGGAGCCTTTAATTGAGCTATGTGTAGAAAGAAATTTGGTAATAAGTAATACATATTTTATGAAAAAGAGGATAAATAAATATACAAGGTATGATGTAGCACGTAATGAAAGTAGTTTGTTAGATTATGTTTTGGTGGATAAAAGGTTGATGGGTAGGCTCCAGGATGTACATGTTTATAGAGGGGCAACTGATATATCGGATCATTATTTAGTTGTAGCTACAGTTAGAGTAAGAGGTAGATGGGAAAAGAGGAAGGTGGCAACAACAAGAGGGAGGTGAAAGTGTATAAACTAAGGGAGGAGGAAGTTCGGGCGAGATATAAGCGACTATTGGGAGAAAGGTGGACTAGTGCAAAGATGAGTAGTGGGGGGGTTGAAGAGGGTTGGAATAGTTTTAAAAATGCAGTATTTAGAATGTGGGGCAGAAGTTTGTGGTTATAGGAGGGTGGGGGCAGGAGGAAAGAGGAGTGATTGGTGGAATGATGAAGTAAAGGGTGTGATAAAAGAGAAAAAGGTAGCTTATGAGAGGTTTTTACAAAGCAGAAGTGTTATAAGAAGAGCAGAGTATATGGAGAGTAAAAGAAAGGTGAAGAGAGTGGTGAGAGAGTGCAAAAGGAGAGCAGATGAAAGAGTGGGAGAGGCACTGTCAAGAAATTCTAATGAAAATAAGAAAAAATTTTGGAGTGAGTTAAACAAGTTAAGAAAGCCTAGAGAAAGTATGGATTTGTCAGTTAAAAACAGAGTAGGGGAGTTAGCAGATGGGGAGAGGGAGGTATTTGGTAGATGGCGAGAATATTTTGAGGAACTTTTAAATGTTGAGGAAGAAAGGGAGGCGGTAATTTCATGCACTGGCCAGGGAGGTATACCATCTTTTAGGAGTGAAGAAGAGCAGAATGTAAGTGTGGGGGAGGTACATGAGGCATTATGTAGAATGAAAGGGGGTAAAGCAGCTGGAACTGATGGGATCATGACAGAAATGTTAAAAGCAGGGGGGGATATAGTGTTGGAGTGGTTGGTACTTTTGTTTAATAAATGTATGAAAGAGGGGAAGGTACCTAGGCATATGATAGAGTGGATAGAGGAGCAATGTGGCAGATGTTGCAAGTATATGGAATAGGTGGTAAGTTACTAAATGCTGTAAAGAGCTTTTATGAGGATAGTGAGGCTCAGGTTAGGGTGTGTAGAAGAGAGGGAGAATACTTCCCAGTAAAAGTAGGTCTTAGACAGGGATGTGTAATGTCACCATGGTTGTTTAATATATTTATAGATGGGGTTGTAAAAGAAGTAAATGCTAGGGTGTTCGGGAGAGGGGTGGGATTAAATTATGGGGAATCAAATTCAAAATGAGAATTGACAGTTACTTTTTGCTGATGATACTGTGCTTATGGGAGATTCTAAAGAAAAATTGCAAAGGTTAGTGGATGAGTTTGAGAATGTGTGTAAAGGTAGAAAGTTGAAAGTGAACATAGAAAAGAGTAAGGTGATGAGGGTATCAAATGATTTAGATAAAGAAAAATTGGATATCAAATTGGGGAGGAGGAGTATGGAAGAAGTGAATGTTTTCAGATACTTGGGAGTTGACGTGTCGGCGGATGGATTTATGAAGGATGAGGTTAATCATAGAATTGATGAGGGAAAAAAGGTGAGTGGTGCGTTGAGGTATATGTGGAGTCAAAAAACGTTTACTATGGAGGCAAAGAAGGGAATGTATGAAAGTATAGTAGCACCAACCCTCTTATATGGATGTGAAGCTTGGGTGGTAAATGCAGCAGTGAGGAGACGGTTGAACGGAGTGGAGATGTCCTGTCTAAGGGCAATGTGTGGTGCAAATATTATGCAGAAAATTCGGAGTGTGGAAATTAGGAGAAGGTGTGGAGTTAATAAAAGCATTAGTCAGAGGGCAGAAGAGGGGTTGTTGTGGTGGTTTGGTCATTTAGAGAGAATGGATCGAAGTAGAATGACATGGAAAGCATATAAATCTATAGGGGAAGGAAGGAGGGGTAGGGGTCGTCCTCGAAAGGGTTGGAAAGAGGGGGTAAAGGAGGTTTCGTGGGCGAGGGGCTTGGACTTCCAGCAAGCGTGCATGAGCATGTTAGATAGGAGTGAATGGAGACAAATGATACTTGGGACCTGACGATCTGTTGGAGTGTGAGCAGGGTAATATTTAGTGAAGGGATTCAGGGAAACCGGTTATTTTCATATAGTCGGACTTGAGTCCTGGAAATGGGAAGTACAATGCCTGCACTTTAAAGGAGGGGTTTGGGATATTGGCAGTTTGGAGGGATATGTTGTGTATCTTTATACGTATATGCTTCTAAACTGTTGTATTCTGAGCACCTCTGCAAAAGCAGTGATAATGTGTGAGTGTGGTGAAAGTGTTGAATGATGATGAAAGTGTTTTCTTTTTGGGGATTTTCTTTCTTTTTTTGGGTCACCCTGCCTCGGTGGGAGACGGCCGACTTGTCGAAAAAAAAAAAAAAATCTGGAGGGAGTTACAAGGGCCAATGCCTCATCATTATCACAGTTTTTGTTGTACATATAATCTTTTTGGGTCACCCTGCCTTGATGGGAACCGGAAAACGTGTTAAAAAAAATAATCAATAAGAAATCTACATTAGCTAATTTTAAGGAAAGGGAGAGAGAGAGAAAGATTGGAGAAATGAAGAAATGAGGGATAGTTGCAGAGTAGGGAGAAGTGGTATCTACAGTAAACCTTGATTTAACTGACCCCCCATTTAACCCTTCCACTGTCTGTGCAGTAATTCACTCTAATGAGGACCATAGAGCACTTCAGGATGATTTGAATAGACTGATGCAATGGTCGGAGAAATGACAGATGCAGTTTAATATAGACAAATGCAAAGTTCTAAATGTTGGACAGGAAAATAACCATGCCACATATAAACTAAATAATGTAGATCTTAATAATACTGATTGCGAAAAGGACTAAGGAGTTCTGGTAAGCAGTAATCTAAAACCAAAGCAACAGTGCATTAGTGTTTGCAATAAAGCTAACAGAATTCTTGGCTTCATATCTAGAAGCATAAATAACAGAAGTCCTCAGGTTGTTCTTCAACTCTATATAACCTTGGTTAGGCCTCATTTGGATCATGCTGCGCAGTTCTGGTCACCGTATTATAGAATGGAAATAAATGCACTGGAAAACGTAGAGGAGGATGACAATGATGATCCCATGTATCAGGAATCTTCCCTATGAGGATAGACTGAGGGCCCTGAATCTGCACTCTCTCGAAAGGCAGAGAATTAGGGGGGATATGATCGAGGTGTATAAATGGAAAACAGGAATAAATAAAGGGTATTTAAATAATGTGCTGAAAATTTCCCACCAAGACAGGACTCGCAGCAATTTTTTTTTTTATTTTATTTTATTTTATTTATAAATTTAGCATACATACAGAGGTACAAAAAAATACAGGTAAGAGCAGCATTCCAAAGCCACTTATATGCATAGCATTACAGGCTGGCTTAAAATTAACTTAAGATTAACTAAGCAATGATGAAATCAGTGATAAGACATTATTGTAAACAGATAACTATAAAATACAAATGAGTACATATTACAAAGACAGGTCATGTGGTTGCATGCATTGCTGTTCATTCAGGTAGTGTATTTAAAAAAAAATAACAAAGTTAGGTTTAACATTTGTGTGATATAATTGTGAGTAACATTTAGGATATACAATTTATATGGTTCAGTTATTCAGTATTTATTTGGTTTTGAGTGAGTAAGTGAACTTTGAGAAGAGACTTGAATTTATAAACAGGTAGTGTTTCTTTTATATTTACAGGTAATGAATTCCAGATTTTAGGGCCTTTTATGTGCATTGAGTTTTTGCATAGCGTGAGATGGACACGAGGAACATCAAAGAGTGATCTGTGCCTTGTGTTATGGTCATGTGTTCTGTTGAGGTTGGCAAGGAGATGTTTGAAGGGAGGGTTAATATCAGAGTTAAGTGTTCTATGTATGTAATAAGTGCAATAATAAGTATGGATGTTTTGTATGGTGAGTAGGTTGAGTGTTTTGAATATTGGTGGAGTGTGCTGCCTGTAGTGAGAATTTGTTATCATTCTAACTGCAGCCTTTTGTTGGGTAATTAGTGGTCTGAGATGGTTAGTTGTTGTTGAGCCCCATGCACAAATTCCATAGGTGAGATAGGGGTAAATAAGAGAGTGATAAAGGGCCAGGAGGGCTGACTGTGGAACATAGTACCGTATCTTCGATAGTATGCCTACAGTCTTGGAAATTTTCTTAGAAATTTGTTGTATATGTGTATGAAATTTGAGTCTATTATCGAGGTGGATTCCTAAGAATTTTCCCTCTGTTAGCTTTGTGATAGGTGATTCGTTTATCGTTATGTTAAGAGGTACATCTGTAGCTCTGCTACCAAACTGAATGAAGTAGGTTTTGTCAATGTTTAGTGTAAGTTTGTTAGTCCTCATCCAGGTAGATATTTTCTGTAATTCGGTGTTTACAGTATTGGCTAGCGTGACTGGGCTCGGGTGAGAGAAGACGTATGTGGTGTCATCTGCAAAAAGTGTGGGTTTGAGTAATTGCGAAGCATTTGGTAGGTCATTTATGTATA